GGGAAAAAATACCTTATAATACCTAAATTGTTATACCACTGCCATTAATCCCTGACACCTTAGTACTTTGATTCCTTGGCAACAATGTTGATGAGATCATTAGTTAAAATACTGCTAGTAAAGGTAAAAGGACATTTTATATCTACCTCTATTACAAGTAAGGGATCAGGCCTACTACCTACTACCGTTTCCAACTGCGGCTGTTTATTGCAGTTTATACAGTTATACTTTTCATTTGTTCTTGTTCAAGTGTTTACAGCTTTTAATTTGGAATTGTTCAACATACTTTTTGATCCCCAAAACTTCTACAGGAGGTGACTACTTAACTGCCTGAACACCATTAGGAACAATATTTATGTCTCTCCAACTTGAGCTTTTGTTTATGCCCTGTTGACAAAAATGGCACAAGGGGGGTCTGAGCACGTACAGCAGTTAACTGTCACTGAAAATTCAATATAAAAAAAGAGAACATTGAAATCCACACAGCATGGAAATTGTTTTTACATTCTCAGTTGTGATTCTGCACAAGGAGACTGCAGGACTTTATACACTTTTATTGCTGGAAATCATACACCTGCAAAAATTAACTATTACATGTATTTCTCAAGTATCCTATTAAAAACTTGTCTTGGAGAATAGGAGTTTGGGCTTTAACCACAAAAACTCTGCTTTATATACAAATGCTGAAGTACTCCACTCCCAGAATTATAGGTGTAAGAAAATCAAGCAATCATTTGACATTACATCTAACTCCAACAGACACTTGACAGCTGAAGTGCTCAAGCACTTACTGGCATGTCATCTCCTACTGGGGTGCAGCTCACAAGGTTTCTCTCATGCTTTATTGAGGAAAATCTTCAAGTCAAATGTTCAATGCAATTATCAAACTGCAGCATTAGAGATTTTGCACCATCTACTGGGCCTGTAAATGTAGCTTGTGACAGTACTTTATTTTACATCTTGTAACTCCAAATAAAAATTGTGAGCTATTTGAAGGTGGGATCCAAAGTGTTTGAATGACCAGACTCTTGTGGCAAACAACTATGCTGTCTCTTGGTCTGTTAGCCTGGCCAGGTGATAGCACTTCAACACCATAATGCATACATACACCTCCTCCTTCAGACTGAATGATTTGCAGCCCTTTTACTAAGTCACCTCTTTGTTAAGTCTCTGTTCACATAAGTTTCTGCTGTTTGTAGAGGGCTCTAAAGAGAAAATCCAGAGCTGCAATTGTAGTGGAATTTTTGAGACTACATGACTTCATGTAGACGTGAATCAATGTATCAGTGCAGCTGCTCCTCAGTCATAGAACCTGTGATTGATCACTCAGTACGTGAAACTGCTGCATGCACAGTGATTCTCAAAAAAAGCTTGAGAACAAACTGTATCAAACATCACAGTTGAACACCATCTTCAGACTAAAAACAGGCAGTAAAACCTGAGTGAAATGTGGACACCACATACAAAATCATGGCATACATTGAAAACACCATCAACTACTAAATGGCATGAGCATTGCTGAAGGTAAAAACACTCGAAACAATGCAGTGAAGAGCTGTGTGGCATTAAACCACACAGCACAGAAAGAACTCTTGGAAGAATCAGTCTGATCCATTTTTGGAGGGACATTAGTACACCATGTGTGTGCTATAAATAAATACAAAATATTGAAATTTTCCTCTGTAAGAAAGACACTTAAAAATAAGTTTGCAGGTTTTTTTCAGTTTATGATACTTATATGAGAAAGCCAAAGTGCTGGCTAGCCTCTGCATTAGGAATATTACTGTGTAGTCTTGCTTGGAGGTCTTTTTTCTTTCTTTGAGGTTTCCCATTAAGAGCTCTTTAGGGCTATTAGTTCTGTTACCAAACAGAGTTCAAGGGAAACATTTTTATCCGCTTTAAATCACATACCCATTTTTAAAATTGGAACATGTTAACTTAAACAATTTTTTTTAAGGTTAGGTTCTCAATGCAATTGTATTTTAAGTCTACATTGTGTCTAACTGATAGGTACACATTAGATAAATAATTTACACGTGGAATCACTGCATGGAAAGGTACAGAGGAAGGACTCCAAGACTCCTACACTTCAAAAAATGAAACAAAATGCTCATCATCTGCTTTTAATAAAGAAAGCTATTGATTGAACCAAGACATACAGCTAGTACTTCACCACCATCTATAATCTGCATACTTAACAAAAAATGTTGCTGAATGTGGCTATTGATAGGCTATTGATATATCAATAAATATTGATATATTTAGAGCCTATCAGTTTAGTCATTTACAGATGACTGCATGGAGGCAATGCAAGGGAATGTTTTTTAAAAGTTTCTAGATTGCTCCTGAAGTTTAACTCTTCTCGTTGTGCATAGAAGGGATCAAATCTCACCTGAAATTTCACCTGTGTACCTAGCAACAAGAATCCCAAGGACTGATCCCTGGGAGAGGGGCCAGCTTGCAAAGAACTGATTACATCAATGTTATTTACTTTCTGAACTCCCTAACATGCTGGTCACATCCAAAGTGCCCACTAGAAATGGTACCTTGCCAGCTCCTGAACAGGCCAAAATCTGTGCCAGCAACTGTTCTAACAAGCAACTGTACAGATGACTGAGCTACAGTGTCCCAGAAAATTTCCTGGCACTGCCAAGTTTAGTGACACAGATGTAGTGTGACAGGCATAACATTAAGCCTTTAACATACTCATTTTGGTCTCAGCTAGAAATGTGATTCAACTTTTTTTAACCACCTATTTTAGGATGAAACAATCTTTCAATTAGCTTTTGTTGCTCTAACTCTGACTAAAAGAGGCATCTGACATCTCACAGCATTGTGGCTATTAAAGTAAGAGCAAAGCATGGATTTTTAAGCCGTTTAGCCTTGGAAGCATACTAAATATAGTACTAACAAACTGAAGCATCATCTTTGCAAATAAATAACATATTTTACATGTTTTCTTGTCAAGTGCTTTTCTTCTCTTGATGATCCAATACAAAACAAGGTTGAAAACTCTTATTTTTTAATGCACACTGAATTTTATACCGTCTTGTAACAGTAATAATCCTTATGAAAAACCCTGGAGTTAAAGGAATTTTTGCTCCCCCTTTTTTTTCCTCACTCCCAAGATGAAGATGTTGCAGTATGATAATACCTTGAATAACCTTTGTATAATATCCCTGAAGAGTAACTGAGACTTCAGGGTAGTAAAGAATAATGTAAGCCAAAAAGTTGTGCAAACAGGCAGAATTTGACTTGCCAAATGAGCATGAACAGTAACGACAGGTAAACATAAACTGCTTTGGAGCTGGAAGGAGTTTGAAGAATGGATGTATGGATTTCCAACACCTCCACATGAATTTACTGTGTGTCAGCACATTCAAGATTAAGTTGTGGGGATAATTAACACAGACACAGCTTCCATTAAGGTTTTAACAGTAGTTTTCCCAAGACTTTAAAGTCCTGGAAATGATGGCAATTGCTCAGTATGCACATAGGTGGCACAACTATGTATTTTAAAATTTCACTCTTGAGGTAACTTTAGTTTCATTTAGCTCCTTCAGGTTTCCATGGGCATTTAGGACTAGTTCAAGCTACCAACTACAAATCTAGCACTAATGGTAGTCCCTAAACTATTATAGTAATTAATAAAAATAGTGCCTCACAGTTTAAAGGGTTTGCATCTTGTAATTATTAACTTGAAACAGGGTAACTGAATTTTGCATAGCATTATTTTTTAGTATCAGGATGTTGTGAAGTACTAGGTCTTTCATAAAAACAGTGCGACTTCCCTTTCCAATACTTATTTCTCAGTCTGAGAATTTTTTTCAATTTGCCTTTTCTGTTAATTCAATTACATTAAATCAAGTGAATTAAAGTACGTTACAAATATTGGCAGTTCAGTATAGTGTATCAGTATAGTAAAATATTGGTTGAACACAATACTCTAAATAAATCTAGAATTTTTTTTTTTTTTGTTTATTTTGTACAACTCTCACTGATCTGTACAAGAGTCAGCTCTTACTTTCATACCCTTTTTCTCCAACTCTAGCAACAGAAGTCACTTAAATGACACAGTCACCACTTTTGGTCAATGCACACCAAATGCAGAAAACACAGCTCATGTTATAGTTGGGCATCTGATGTTTCCAATTTACTGGAAATCTTCTCAAAGAGATAAGCATTTCAGGATAATCTCTGATTTTAAAAGCTGTAACTGTCCCTTTTTAAAATAGGAGATTTAACATGTCTTTTGCAAATTCTACAAGCAATGTACTAGGAATCACTTATTTGTTCACCTGACAAATCATCTACTTGACACATTTGCAGTCTAGTTTGTTACTTAAGAATATGAACAAAGAAAATTTTCTGCCACCTAAAGGTCACACTTCAGCTCCAGACAGAAAGAGTCCATGGTCCTTAAAGAGCTACCAGAGGTAAGTACTAACCACCTCCCTGATGGAAGTGGAGTGGTGAAAGGGGAGGAAGTGGCAAAAAGGAGGACTTCTCCCTGTAAAGAAGGTACAGAAGTCCCATAGGGGAATTAGCAGAACTGGAGCTGGCAGTCATTAGAAGTAACAGAATAAAGGCAACCACTTAGGAGCAGTGAGGAAACAGAAAGCAAGGGCTAGATCAGGTAAGTACTTACTGTATACTAATAAACTAGAGACCAGAAAAATTACTTGGGGTTGGAGAAAAATTAAGAGCAGAAAAATGCTGAAGCAAACAATAACAAGTAAGTATTGTTCAGGGAACAAGTGGCATCTTAGATTAATGAATGATTCAAAGCTTCATGATTCGTTTATCCAGGTCCAAAAATGCATGTGGTAAAGAAGGAAATCCAGACCATTACTGTGGTTTTTAGATTATTGGATCATCACATTTTGAGGAAGTGAGGCAAACTATTTTTTAAATTCAACTTCAGAGGATAAAAAATATTTAGATTCAGCATAAATGACATTCTATAATTAGTTGGCAGATAGAACAACCTACAGTTCTTCTTCAAGATCTTAATGTGCTTTTACTTTTTAAAATCAAAACACAACGCCCCCAATACATACACACACACACCCCACAACCTTCTTGCATCACTTCTGAAAAGCACATTTGCAGTTTATCAGTAGTTTCATTTGTTAAGATCAAGTGAGGTGAAAGGCACCAATAGAACATTCTTTTAAGAGAACCAGACTAGTAGCTTATCTTAGGTAAACAACTGTCACACGGGAGAACAAACAACTTATATTTGTAAGGCCAGCATGTGGACATACTACAAAAAAGATTGAAAAAGCCCTCGATAAAACTATGCAAATAACTTTGTCCTTGTGTACCCTCTAGCGGCTGCCCAGGCTGTGCTGGCCCCACAGTAACTAAGCAGGAAATTTCCTCAACCAGACAAAATAAGAGTGCTTCCCTCTGTAACAGGTCTTCTAAATAGATGAAGATTCGTGAGATTAGGGTTCTGAGCAGGCAAAAGTATGAATTATTTGGAGTTTTAAGTTTACAACAAATTCTGCCTTGTTAGTTTAATGAAGTGAACCCAAGTTTTCCACTGATACATCAAGCAGATGATACATCACGCAGCAAGATACATGAAGCTATTTACATAGCAATCATTCAGGGCACGTACCTGCATAACTGTGGTATATGTGCATGCTGCACACAAACTGCAGCAACGTCAGTAAATTAAGCTGGGTATTACTCTTCCAGAAGTCCTCTGAGGTGGGGAAAAAATCCAATACACAGGTTGCAGACACTACCTAAGAGCCATTTCTGTATGGAATGGCAGTTCAATATTATTGAAAAAACCTGCTTTAAACTAGAACTGGCTGTTTTGGCTGTATGTGCTAAACTGGATTATGTCAGAGAGAAAAACTGTCATCCAGCTTAAGAACATTCTGCAAGCACACAACTAATGTTTAATTTGTTTCATCTTAAACAAACATAGAAGACTGTACAACAGACATTTCAAATAACTCCACTAAAAATCTCCATCCCTCACACCCAAACTCCCAATACATAAAAGCAAAGGTCAGCACCCTAGCCAAGGCACCAAGTTCTCTCCATAATGAAAAAAAACTCAACTCAATCCTCACTGCTATGATTTGGCAAAAGAATATAAATTGCATTCTACACAGCTAGTGAAACATGAAAATTAACAACAGTCAGAAAGAGAATATACAGACTTTTTAACACCTCATATATACTTCTTCATGAACTCTAGATGCTACAGCTAGTTGCATCATTCAGTTAAAGATGCAAGTCATTAAATAGCATCAGAAGAAACACCTTAAAAACTGCTAAGTGTTGACCCTTCAAAAAAATCACTACAAAATTTGTGCACGAGGGAAGTATTCTGAGACCTCTCCTGATGCTGTGCCACTATAAACGAGGCACTCACATTGCCAACATAATGAAGGCAAAGGGTAATTAGACTATATACCAATTCCTATATATTACACGAAAAAAAAATCAAAATACTGTCTTGAAATGATATGAGATAATGCACATTCAAGATGAAAATTTCAAAAAGGACAGAACACACAACACCTCAGAAGTAAATGGCATCCCAGGCTACATGTACAACAGACATTACTTTTAATAAAAAGGTTCTCATATCTTCAGTACAGCATATAGTCAGTGCTGTCCAGTCAGTCCTGCAGACAACTGAAACAGTTTCCCTTCAGATACAGCAATTAAGTAGTCAGCAGCAAAAGTGCTGGCTCTACCCTGCATGGCAGATACAGGTGTTTTTTCTGCACCCCAAATGTACATCAGAAAAAAAAACTGATCATACAGCATAGCCAGCTCTTTGTGTATGCTATTCACCTGCATCATATGTTCATAGGCAGCAATGCAAAAATTCCTCTTTCTGTGTGTTTATAGCTTGAGTTTAAGTTAGTTCTCTCTCCATTTTTGAGAACACCTGACCAACTGTGTTGCCAGTCATTCATCCCCAAGCCTGAGTTTTGCAATAATGCAGTACAAGCTTGCCATCACTTCCAAAACACTGCAAGAAAAACAAAAAACAAAAGCTGTTAAAATTATTCATTGGCTAGCATATACATGAAGCAAAACAAAAAGTCTTCCCATCAGATAAATGTGTCATGGAATATTGCCATGAGAAAGCTCCCCATTAAAATGAGAGGTGTGACAATACACTGAAAACAAAGGGATGCATTTCCAGAGGCTGTGTGAACTCTTTGGATCACATTCATACAGATCAGTGAATATCAACTACACTACAGTAAATGCAAACTATTAATGCTAGGGGAAGTAACAGATTTCAAGTGCCTGAGGTGTGCTGGAAAATCCTGCTAAATACATTTGGAAAGGATATTTAAGATGAAAGTTACCTCATAGAGGGTCCCCACTTCTTGGTCTGGAGATGGAGCAAAAGACTGGTTAACATATATGAACTGCAAGAAAATGAGAAAGGAGATGGAGATCTCACATTGATCTCACTGGAAACACAGAAGAAACATTCTGCAGTCAAAAGTTCTATTATAATCTTTAAGCATATAACAGAATACAACCAGCTACTACCACCTCCACTTCAGCATGGAGGGGCAACGTGACCATGAGTCACCTGTCACTCTGTCTGGCCAGCCAGACCAAACCAAAGTAAGCGTGCTGACTTCCTTTTACTGCAAGCTGACCCGTTATTCTCCCATACAGCAGCACAAAGTGAACTCACTGGTTTAGCTCTTGCTCTTATTTCACCCTAACCACTCACACTATTCCAGATTTGCTCAATTATGGCCATCACAGAAATTAGAAACATCTTGTTCTATTTTGAAGCCATCCTCACTTCTTGCTCCAAAAAATGCAATTACACATGTAAGATCTAATCCACAAGGACAAAGAGGTCCTTGGGATCTGCCATGTGAGGCAGCAGTGGGTACTGAGGTACCACATGCTATCTGCAAATAAAAGATATAAAATTCCTAGGTCTTTGTTCTTGAAGTCTAGCCTTAGGCTTCAGCCACACTGGAAGGCTCTGTGCCCCCATTTTTTTTTTGTCCAGAGATAATCATATGATAGTCACTAAATCAAACTGTTGAGAATGTCCTTAGTTAATATTACTTACCAATCTTCTTTGAGATATAAAACCATGGAAAAGCAGACCCTTCATGATTTCCAGGTGAATGAGAAGGCCAGTGCATTTATGCCTATACACTTAAATATGATCCTCCAAACCAAGAACAGAATGGATTCAGCTACAATTTAGTTGACTGCTTTAATGAGTATTGCTTTAACTGTGTATCTTAAAAAAAAATTTTGGACTGTATGGATGTTGAGAGTTCACTGCAGAGCAACAAAATCAGTGCAGTTGTATTTCTAGCTCTTCCAGTGTTACCACGAGGCCGCTTTGGCTAGTCACTTCCGCAGGAAGGAACCCATAAATAACACCAGCAATCTGCTCCCCAAGGGCAAACACTTCCCAACTACCCATTTGAAAAGTAAAATCAGTCCTATGACAGTAACTAAATTATTTTAGATGTGAGTTCTAAAGGAAACAGACACTCAGATTCAGAAAGCTGATCCCAAAAATTCTGGTCTGTTTTGCAAATACTGGGGCTCCACATCCAGTTCCTCCAGGTACCTAGTGGCTAGGAATGTTTCCTTTTGGCTGCCCAGGGTGCCCACAGCTCTGTCTGGCAGAGAAATATAGAAAGAAATACAGACCCTGCAAAAATTCCAAAGATCAGTGCCAAGCACACCGCTCTGCTACAGCTCGCTCAATATCACATCCTGAGGTCCACTTGGAATAGTTCTCTCCAAGTGTCATACAGGCAGCTGTAGCTTTGCAGGGTTGACAGCGGGGACCCAGCCCGCAGCCCCCCGCCCGGTGCCCGCCCGTACCAGCTGTTCGGAGGCCATCAGCTTGAGGAACTTCTTGATGAAGTCCACGAGGCCCTGGATGGTCCGGGTCCGCTCCACCGCCCATTTCTTGGTCCTCATGATGGGGGTGTCGCCCACAGCCTTCAGCAGCACGTCAACTGTAGGAAACTGCGCGTCACAGAGGGCCCGCCCCCCGCCGCTCATTGGCCCACACCGTCCGTCCCCGCCGCCCATTGGCCGCCTCGCCTGCCCGTCACCATCCCCGCCCGCCACGGCGGAGGCCTCTCATCCCATTACTTTTCTTTTTAGCGTCTCCCGCGGGCTCCTCGGTGCCTGGCGACCCGGCCGGGGGCGGGCCTGGTTCGGGGGGGCTCGTCGCGGCCCCGCCCTCCGAGGTCTCCTCTCCGCCGTCGCTCCGGCTGGCGCTCTGCACCGCGGCGGGCGGCGGCTGCTCCTCGAGCTCCGCCATAATGCCGGTTCTGCGCGGGCCGCAGGAAGTGACGCCACGCGAGGGGCGGCCTCCCCTCCGCGAAGCGTTTTGTCCCTCGTGGGACACCGCCTTCCCGTCACGTGACGCCCCAGGAGCGTCACGTGCGGCACGAGCCGTCCCGCCGGTCACGTGGTGCGCGCGCTCGGCCGCCACCGGCCCGAGAGTGGGACGGGGGTGGGCAGAGGAAAGGAGGGGGAGAGGAAGAGGAAGGAAAGAGAAGAGGAAAAGGAAGAGGACGGGGACACAGCTCGTCAGGCTGCCGCCTCCACTCCCTGCCGCCGCCCCACCATGATCAAAGCCATCCTTATCTTCAACAATCACGGCAAGCCGCGGCTCTCCAAGTTCTACCAGCGCTATGTACGGACGGGCCGGGGCTCGGCGGGGCGTGCGGGGGCCGTGCGATGGCCGGGCGGCGGGGTTGTACGCGAGGCCCCCCGGCCTGGCCCTGCCGGCTGCGCCGGGGCCAGGGCACCGCCGTGGGGAAAGGGATGGTGCTGAGACCGTGTACGTGAGGCTTCGAAGAAAGCCGATGTTGTTTTCGCTGGGATTTGCTTTTTAGGAGCTCCAAAGGTGAAGGAGGGAGGGAGGGGAACTTGTCCAGCGGCAGGCTTGGCTCTCCCGAGTTGTCGTGTGGACGGGTTGCTCTAAGCTCCGCTGTCCGGCGCGGTGCTGCGTGTCTGTGCTACGGCAGGGCTGGCAGAGTGGGGCAGATGAGTTCTTAAGTAGAACCTTTTATTTTGGAAAGTCTCAGTGTGCTATAAAATTGCAGTTGACATGAAAACGTAGCGAAGTAGAAAAGAGCATTCTTTTACATGGTAGGAGGCAAGCAGCAAAGCAGCTCTGAGAATGCAGCAGAAGCGTTCAGTCTGAATGGAAAGTGCAGTGGAAACTCGTGATTTAGTTCAAGGATAAGAGATTTTAAGATAATGTTTTGAACGTAGTCTATTTCCTAGCAGATCTGCTGGGGTCTGCTTGGGCATTAAAATACGAGGAAACGATTGGTATTTCTTAAAGTTATTTAAGCTAATAACTTTTTTTAGCAGTGCAGTTATTTGGATTTGTATCCCATTTCTTGCAGTTCTGGCTATTACAGGACTCAGAGCACATTGGAAGGGATGTACCTTACTTGCACACCTCAGAGCAGAAATGATGACTCTGACACTTTAGTTTGCACGGCCAGGTTTTGAATTAGATGAGTGTAAGTGATACAGCTCCTTCTTATGTGTGACTGAAAGGGGAAGGAGAGGATCAAATGGCCAGAGGATACCAGATTTTTCTTGTAAAATCATTCTGATGTACTAGTTTCATAACAGGACTTACAACAAATTCTCAATGCTTAATGTAGGGTAACACGTTTATATAAACAGAATGCTTTGAACTTTTGAAAATGTGAATAGCAAATTAAACTAAGAAACTTTCTGCTGCACAGAAACAGGTGCATTTGTATAGACTGTATTTTTATGTATGATATCAATAACACAAATTTGTTTGTAGACCTTTTGAAGCTTATGCATTCTTTAGTGTCAATTGAACCAGTACTGGAGGCAAATCTCTCAGCTTTTTTCTTCAAGGGGATGCATGTCCTGTTTTCTAGAGAGATTAATTTTTTTCAGATCTGTGAAAGAGGTACTTATTTCTTTCATAATACTAATGCTTATAAAATGGGTCTGACTTTTAGCTGATATATATGAGAATGGAAACTGCATAAAATTAAGTTAATAATATTTTGCTGTTAGGTAGAAAATTAATAATTTATGGCAATTAAAATATATGTCATCATTTTGTCTTTCAGAATATAGACGTGTGGCCATAATTTCAAAATTAACTTAAAAATTAAGTTTCTAAAGCGCCAGAAGAATTTATTCTCAGAAGTGGTGTTTCTGATCTGCCAAGAGTTAAGGTTATAGCCTAGGAGAACCTGCTGCTCATGGTGCCCTTGTATTTTAAGCTGGTTTTGGAAGTGTTACATATTGTGGGATTTGTAGCTTCCCTAATACCTTTAAGCTTTGAGGACTTCATTTTACTCATTGTTTATGGGTAAAACTAGTTTCAAAGCATGCCTCTAGCTGTTTAAGCTATATTGGCAATAAAAAAAAAATCAAGCTACTTGAGAACACTTCTGGTTTACTTTAAAAAAACTATTTTTAGGTTAATTTTTTTTACAGAAGTTCCCTTAAAAGATCACTTTTCCACATTTCTCAGTAATACCTTCTTCTGCAACTTGTAAATGATGGCCTTTTGTGTTGAAATGATACAAGTGATAGATGTTAACTGGTAGATTTGAGACTTCAGAAGTAGGTAGTTTGAGAGTGCTGATATGCTTAGAGTTTTACAATCTTGTGTGCTGTGCATTGTCAATGCTTTTTAACAAAGTGTATTTTCTTTCACAGAGTGAAGACACGCAGCAACAAATTATCAGAGAAACTTTCCATTTAGTATCAAAACGTGATGAAAATGTCTGTAATTTTCTAGAAGGAGGACTGTAAGTATCGAGTTTGAAATAAACACCCAATACTGACTTTCAAGTATTAGTACTTCTGATACTACAATTTTTCACAGCTATTATGTAAATGCCATGTCATTTGAGATTTGTTGACACACAAGGAATGATATTCTGCACCAGGTGTACATATTCTTCACTAATGAATCATAGCTTATATGTACCAAAATGTCTTAGGCTATAATTTTTTATTTTTTTTTACATTCTTGTGGCACAAGATATGTGAAATGGCCACAGTGCCGTATCTTGTGCCATGATTGTTTCAGATACAAAGATGGGGAAGGAACAGGCAGATGTTGTTTTGCTATAATCAAGCTAAAGATTTCTGGTCACATTTTAAGAGGCATTGGCATTTTCTGTACCCACTGAATCACAGAATATTCTGAAGGGACCCACAAGGTCTCTGAAGTGAATGGCCCATTCAGGAATCCACAGCCCAGCCTTGGTGTTTTTACCACCATGCTGTGACCAACTGAGAAAAATCTCTAGAAAATCAGTAGAAAAAATCTGTAGAAAAATCTGTAGTAGAAAATTAAATACTTTGGAGCTGTTATTTGGCTTGAATTCCTAAAATTTGAGCAGACAGCCTTTTTATCAGGATTTGCACTTGTTGTATGAACTAGGAAGAAAAAAAATAGGTTTTAAAAGTGCTATTACAGTTTTGACCAAAATATTTTATTAATAAAGGAAAAACAGTGTAGGGGGAAAGTGAGGCTTATGTGTCTCTGTAATACACAAAGTAATATTTTTGATGCACCTTCATTGTTTTTGAAAATCATATTGCTTTAGCTGAAGAAGTTCTGAAATGGAGATGTGTTTGAAGAATTTATTAGCCATCAAGTTAAAAAGCCACTTTCTAGAAGAAGGGGTCGGAAATGATGGAATAAGCTCATGATCTCCAGTCTATGACATAAAGATTGTTACAGTCTGTTAAATATTATATTTATGGGAATTTCTGGTTAGTGAAAGTTGGTCTGCTAAAAGCTAGATTTTCTGTGTGCAGAGTCAATTAAATGCTTAGCTGTACCATATCAGCTAGGATGTCTTATTTCCTCATCAAAATGATTCTGGATTCCTTTTATTACTGTTTTTTAAATTTAAATTATTCTTTTCTGACTCCTGAACTGGTGATTCTATCATTAGGTTCTTGGAGATGATCTCAGGTTGGGAACATTCTAGCTTCAATTCTGTAAGTGAAAGGCAGAAGACATTTGGAGCTTTTTAAAAAATCACAGCTGCTTAACAAGAATAAACTGAGACAGAGAACACAATCCTACTACTCAGTGGAATTTTTTTCAGTATTTTTTTTTTCAGGACAGGGTTCCCTTTATAGTTTGCGTTTTATCCAAAGGCCTCAACAGTTTATGTGTAGAACTATGTGTACTTCAAGTATGAAGTATTTGAAAGAATTGGATAAATAGATCACAAAAGAAGAAACCTTAATTGCTATGTCTTTCCACTGTCCTATTTGCTTGTTACAGTGTTTTCTGATAAATGCAATTCCTACTCTTCAGAAACAAAGGGCTCTTCCCTACCCCCATTCCTGCTCTCTGCCAAGCATTAATGCAGAGCACAATGCTTAAGCAGAAATGACCTTAAAAGATTTTTATTTTTTTTATTTACTTATTTTTTTTAATTGTGTATTCCTACCCTGTGATAAATACAGAAACTAAAGGGATGAGTTATAGTGCACCAAATTCAGTTCTGGTCCAGAATTAAGGGAAAATTGCTATAGTCTTGTCCATGTAGGTTCAACCTAAAAAATACTTTTATTTCTGTAGGAACAGGTGTTTTATAACTCAAAGCAGATGTCAGTGATCTGATGTAGATCTCCTGTGCTTTATGTGCCGTTTTTTGGAAGGCCATAGCAGAAGAGTGGAAGAACCTACCTCTTTAGACTCTTCTCATTCAGTGCCATGATGATTAGTGAGTCCATAAAGATATAATTGCTTCTGTGACTGTAACATTGCATCATTAACTATTGCTTGAAGTATGGTCCTATTTCTCAAGATATCATGAGTGTTAGCATGATTGTTACATGTTCTTGGTTATTAAATGGATCATAAACCTAATTTAAGGCTTTTTATGTAATCCAAATGCCATTCTTCGTTACAGTTTTTTTTCCTCCTGATGCTCCTCTGAGAAGGTGAGGGAAGGATTCATAGGTATACACCGTTAATCCGTAAAGCAGATTAATCCCTGTGCAGTGCCTTCCTGCTAGTGTGGAATGGAAGTACATTTAATATCTGCTTTTTTGTGATCTGTTTGAATAGATTTTAATAAAAAGCTGTGCAGGTTGATGTCATTTTTACCCATATGGATAACAATAACTTGTGCTTGTGTGGTAAATGTAAATTGGTCTGTCTTGTTACTTAATTTTCCATTGGAATTATATCACAAAATAGAAGTTGCAATATAGTTGGATTTGGGAGAACTCCAGCTGTTAATAATAAGCCTCCTATTAACTGGAATAACTGAGGATTTGCTAAGCTTATCCTGAGATGCTACCTAAGTTTTCCATGTTTTATTTCCTCTTTAGATTAATAGGTGGATCCGATAACAAACTAATTTACCGACACTATGCCACCTTGTATTTTGTCTTCTGTGTGGATTCCTCAGAAAGTGAGCTTGGTATTTTAGACCTCATACAAGTAAGTTATTTTTGCTGCTTTGTGTTTTTTTTTGTTTTTGTTTTTGTTTTTTTATTTATTTTTATTCTAAAGAACTGTAATTCAACTTTGAAGTATCTTAGAAATTAAATATTTTGCTTGCATTTTTTTGGAAGTATTTGGAAGGTTGATTTTATACTGTGAACATACTGAGAAATGCTGAGTATTATTTTCAGATTGTTTGTAGTTTTCTGGGCTGTCTTTGAAATAGTAATTTATCAAGTTGACAGGAAAGTGAGGAAACTATTTGGAGCCTCCTGAACAAAAACTATTTTTTGTTTTAGCTTTTCGAGACCTCTTTTGGCTGCAGGTAATAATGGCACAGTTAAAACATTGGCTGTACAAATGTAGATTATGAGAACTTCGACAGGCAATGCTCTGTATGTGTATATATATATATATTTTTATGTATATTAATATATACCCAGACTCACACACGCATGCATGTGTGTATACATATATTCACTATAAATGTATAATACATAAATATGTCCAAAACATCTTTGGATTAAATTTTCCTTGTGGGTTATGATCTTTTGACAGGTATGCCTTAGAAAAGAAGGGCAAATGCTCCCCTAGGTATGTGTTCTGCACCAGGGAAATTGGGATGAGTAGAGTGGGGATTGGTCAGGAGGGAGAAGATCCTTAAGCCTAGGTACTTTATCTCAGTAAGAAAGGCTCAACAGCACAAATGGTTTGATAACTGCTTAATAGAGCAGAGTAAGAAGATGAATGTAGATGGTAAATCTTAAACCCCTTCAGGTGCTGGCCACTTTTATGTAACACCCAATGGAGACCAGGTGGATTTTCCCACAGTGTGCAGGGCAGAGCAGATCCTATGGAGAGAAGCTCTTCTTTTTTTGATTCTTTGAGCTATTATATAATTCCCTCACAGGAAAACAACTTCTGCTAAAGAATATTTTCAGAACTTCCTGCTGCAATTTGAGGTCATGGCTAGGCCGTGCAGGTGGCATGTTCACTGGTACCATGTAGGAGCTGCTTGCTGGCTCCTGTGTTGCAGTGAACTGGCTGAGTTTATCCCTTAGCCGAGGAATTTCTGCAGCACAGCACAGACCTCTGTGTCTATTTAGGTTGTGTTATGTGGATGACTAACCCCTAAACATGCAACCGTCTCTTAGTCAGAATCAGTACAATCCATTCCTACAGTTCATTTTTGCCAAGGATATCATAGGTTATAGATTATCTTAAGAAGATCCAGGCTGCTCAGCCCAGCAGAGCAGACAGGGCCTGTTCAAGATCATTGACTCCTCAAATATAATGTCTTCTGCAAGGCTTCCAAGTATGATTTCCTTCCAACACAGAGACCCATCAGGACCATTGAATTCAGCTCCTGACCTTGCCCAGGACACCCCAAGAATCACGCCATGTACCTTAAAGCATTTTTCAAATGCTTCTTAAACTCAGACAGGCTTGGTGCTGTGACCAGTATTTAAACTGCTAAATATGTCCTTGTCAACCTAGTAACAAATATCTTGTCTGGCAAGATGAACACTCCTAGGTCAAGAGGCCTCTGACTAAATCAGTGATTTTTTTCAACTTAAAACTTGCAAATAAGCAATTTCACTGATGATCATTATTTTCAAACAGAAAATAGTTTCACACCGTGAAGTGATTTATGTCATTCTGTAAAATGGATCTCATATATGTATATTTATACATACTTATAAAACAGTAAGTATGACTTACTGTCAGGCCTTTCAAAAGCTTGCACATCAAGAGAATTGATTTGTTGCATAATGAAATCTGTCCTGAGACATGGGACTGTATCAGTTATTTCACTGTAGAAGCACTGTGAGTCTCTAAAGCCCTACAATTCCCTGCAGACCTTTCATGAAGCTGCATAGCTTCCCACAGACACCTCCTGCTGTTCAGAACAGTTGTTCCAGTGCTGCTCTTCTGGACAGTAGATCCAGAAGAGTGCCTGTGTGTGTAGCAGGGAAGGAAACTCTGTTCTGGATTCTTACATCATCTTTGGTCATGGAACATTCTGCAATATCTGAACAGTGCAGCATTAACAAGGTACACAGTAGCTGTACTTGTTCATAGCAGTTTGTTGTACAGGGTTGCTTAGTTGCCTGTTGCATAGTGTGTCTACTTACTTGGAAGTGCCAAAATATTTATGAACAGAGGAAAGAAGTATATTCACATAGACAGTGCAACCTAAATAGTAATTTCAGGTGTTGAAGCACATTTCTTGAGCTTACTACTACTCATAATTATACAGCCCCCAAAAGTTTTTGAAGTAGAGAATTTAAGCGTTTCTCTAAAATGTTTTGCTTCTTGTACCAAAAATATTTCAATAGATTTTAATCTCCTAGTCTTTGTATTTCACATTTTTTCCGAAAATGCCCTAGTGTTTAATTACATGTCAACATAACTGTTTAGAGGAAACTGAAATAATAAAAATGCTATTTCCATCTGTAGAAATACTTTGGTTTTCTGACCTCTCTGATTTTGTTTATAAATCATACATTCTCACCACAGTACCTACAGCTGTTGAGGAGTCCAATTTTTCTTAATCATTGCAGTTCAAATTAGAGATTAATATTCAATATTCAATATTAATTAATATTTAATATTAAATATTTAAAGTATAGAGATTAATTAAATATTTTTAATTTCTAGACAGGCCTAGAAGAAGGATCTGTTTAATCTTCTTAGCAGTAGCAGTCAGAATTAAATGGATCTTTTACTGAAAGAGGGCTCTCAGAAAGTTTATTACTTGTCAGTCCCACATGCAGTGTAGACTAACGATATATTCACATGCATATTTAATTGAGAAAATAAGCTTTATTTTTTCCTGAAAAGTGGTGAACCATTTTTGTACATCTTTTTTTATTGTAGTTCAGAGATAATACAGGTAGGAGTAAGACATCTGGACTTTGTTAGGAGTCATACATACAATGAATTGTCTAAGCAAGTGGATATGTAAGGGACCAGTTTATGATGGAAAGTAAACTGGTGAAATTAACCTAGAACTCAGTATAGCAACTTGGAGATTTTTGTCATGCAAACTGAATAAATATGTAGGAGATTAGATTATGTATGGCATTCTGCAGTTCTTTCCAGCAGAAAGTTTTTGTTGTGATCCTTAGGATACTTTCATGAATGCTACTTATCTCCCCATGAGATCCAGAGCTGTTTCACAGGTTAGTCTTGACTCAGGCTTAATGAATATGCTATATGTATTACAAATCCTAGACCCTGCCTGGGGTTTGACACCATCTTCAGCTTGGGTTTCTTTGTTTGAACACCTAAGACAAATTCAGATTATTAATTTTTGACCATTTTCTTCCCTTTTTTTTCTAAATGTAAACACCAGTTTCTTTTTATTATATTTGCTTACTTGGATTAGGAGATTGATCAGCATCTGCAGTGCTTAGGTTTTACAGTCTTCTGGATACAAAAAATTCTTGTCATGCTGTTTTAGCATCTTCGTGTTAGCCTGTGAAGCATAAGGTGGAAGGTTTTAGTGGATGGAAGGAAAATACGTGGGAAAACGCAACTAGCTGCAGACTGCCATAAAGAAGAAATGTGTGTTTTCAGTGGTACTTTAACTATCCTATGGACCTAAGAGCCCTGTGTCAGCTCTAAGAATTTGTGAATGTCTTGGCCCATTGCTGTACTTCAAAAACATGAGTCAGCAAGCAGTGAAGTTTGTGAGGTCAGTCTTCTATGGGAAATTCAATAGAGCCTTTCAGTGTAATGGTGTTCAGTGAGATGCACGTGGGAAGCAGTGCAGCTTATGTAACACGTTCTCTTCAGTTCTTAACAATAAAGTATCCTGACCAGAGATGCTTTTGTGCTAATGAAATGGAAAACAGAGAGGCATGTGACGGGGATAAGAGCTCTTCATGGGCAGATTGAATTACTTCTGTCCTCAGTTTTACCATTGCTGTTTGGTAAGCTAAGGAAGAAGGGGATAATCTTGGTATAAATTACTCTTGTTTTTAGTTCATCTTTTGTACTTGCTTTTGTTAGTATTTGACATTATCCATGCTCAGATACATTTAATTGTTTAGATGTTCTGAGTTTTCTGCTGCCCTTGTTATCTTCCTCCAAATGTATGATATATTCCTTTTTTGTTTTATTTGTTTGTTTTAAAAATAAGCCCTTCATTGTAATGGTTGTATGTTTTGACATATGGCTGAGTAGAAGGGGCTCCTGGCTTGCAAATATTCAATAAAAATTTAGTATTTTGTTTCATATAATTTATGCTACCAGTGTGCATCTGTCTTTATTAAAGCATATTTCTTACAAAAGAAAGGATAGGGGTTTTCCTTTTTTTTTCTTTTCACGTTTTCTGTTTATATACATGGAGTTGTGCATGTTTTTTTCTTTTTACTGTAAAAGATAGTAATTTCAAAAATGAAGCACAAGGGGGAGCTAGTAATTAATTGTGCATGCACCCTTATTTTCCTGCTATTTCACTAATTTATTTATGTTTACTCTTCCAGTAACATCGCAAAATGCATCTGAACTGATGTATGTGAAGGGTGTGTGTGTCCCAAAACAATTGATGTGTTTTCTCTTCTGGTTATTGATCTACAGGTCTGCAGCATCTGAACTGCTTGCCACAGTGGGCAGTTCATGATTAAATTAAAATTCTGATGGAAGTGACTCTGATTTTATTTACCATTTTAGTTATTGAAGGCATCTTAAAAGAGGTCAAGAAATGTTAGTGTAAAAAATCTAGTTTACCTTTCAGACCAGTGTTTTAAATGACCATTTATAATAGATGTAGACCTTGTCATTTCTGGCATTATTGTAAGTGAGCTCACCATCATGAATGGAAGATGTGGGAAATTTCCGAAGTTTCTATGGGAGATCTGTAGTCAGTTAAAAATCTCTGTGAAGGAATAGTCAAGGCCAGCTGATTTCCCTTAGATTAAAAAATGTTTATTGCACATTACTGGTCATGCATTGTAAGCAGATTTGTGAGTTTATTTAGTGTAAGGGGGGTTGCTGTGTGGTAGAGAGAAATTTAAAAGTAACCATTCCAGCAGTGAATCAAATGTTGCTATAGAATCTACCTGGAAGAATGTCACAAAAATTAAACTTTTGCGTTGTTGTTGTGTGAGCATGTGTGCTGCTGCTCAATATATGTATCTGGGGGGATGTTTTTAGGATTCTTGAGTTGCCTTTGTTTTTAATGGGTTCCTTTGTTTTCCAAGGAACTAGACAGATGTCGGAGTGTGTGAATCATGTGTGAAGTTGGTGACTTATATGAGGAATAGTGTCAAACTCTTCGCTCTTGTAACTAAAACCATTAGACAAAGGTTGCATTTACACTGTTTCCAATCTTCTTCTTGCAGCTAATATCAAACAGCACTGTCCTTGTAACTGCATTCTCCTAAGGTGCAAGGAAAGTAAGAGAATATCTTTGGTGATTTGTTTTGCTGCACATGGCTGCAAATGTGTAGTTTTTTCTGCTTAACATACAAGTTTTTTTGTTTGCTCACATCTCTTCTTTATAGAAAACTGTTATTATCATAATGAATTAACAACTGGTTGAAGAAAAGATCCCTGCTTTGCTTAGCTTCAGTATAATTTAACAGGAGAATATTCATTTTCTTAGTTAACTTGTCACCAAACCTTATTGTCTTGAGTCTGCCTCTGAATAAGCTCTATGTTCCTAGTTTAAGTGACAGATTTGTATTTTGTTATTAAAGAATAGTGCTTATTCTAAATTCATGGATCATCAGTTAATTTGTAGTTTGACTTCAACATTTTAAAGACTTCAGTAATAGTAGTAATAGTGAGGGCAAGATGTGGTTGCCCTCTCTTTTACAGTGTGAGCAGGATCTGAAGGCCAGCGATTAAGATGTAAAAGTAATCTTTGTTGGTAATGGCTACTGTTGGAGATGGCTAATGTCATGCATATCTGTTTCACTGGGTCTGTAGATATAAATAAATGTCTGTAGAAGCAGGACTTTAATCCACAAAGAGTGGAGGTGACTGGGGTTACATGCAGGTGGCATCTGGTCAGCAGTGGCGTTCCTCAGGGCTCAGTATTGGGGCCAGGTCTCTTTAATATCTTTATCAGTGATCTAGACGAGGGGTTCAAGTGTTCCTTCATCCAGTTTGCAGATGAGTTTGTGCTGGTTAGAAGTGTTGATCTGCTGGAGGGAATCAGACAGGCTGGAGTGATGGGCCAAGGTCAAATTGTATGACGTTCGACAGAGACAAATGCCCTTGGGTCACAAAAATCCCTCAGTGCTACAGGCTGGGGCAGAGTGGCTGGAAAGCTGCCCAGTGGAAAAGGACCTGGTGGTGCTGGTTGACAGTGTCTGAACATGAGCCAGCTATCCTCAGGCAGCCAGGAAGGCCAATGGCATCTTGGCTTAGATCAGCAATAGTGAGGCCGGTGACTGTCCCTCTGTACTGGGCACTGGTGAGGCCATGCCTCAAATACTGTGTCCAAGTTTGGGCTCCTCAGTACTAGAAAGACATTGAGGGGCTGGAGCAAGCCCAGAGAAAGTCAGTGGAGCCAGTGAAGGGGCACAAGTCTTACAAGGAGTGGCTGGGAGAGCTGCGTATGTTAACCTGGAGAAAAGGACTGCGGGTTCCTAATCTTTCTCTACAGCTATGTGAAAGGGGCTTATAGAAATGCTTCAATCTCTTCTCCCAAGAAAGAAGAAATAGGACAAGAGGAAAGAGCCTTAATTTGTGCTAAGGGAGGTTTAGACTGGCTGTTAGAAAAAGTTTCACTGAAAGGGTTGTCAGACATTGGAATGGGCTGCCCATGTAAGTGGTGGAGTCACCATGCCTAGGGTTTTAAAAACATCTAGATGTGGCACTCAGGGACATAGGTTAGAGCTGGATTTGGCAGTGCTAGCTTACCTGTTCGACTCATCCATCTTTAGGTTTCCAACCTAAACAATTCTGTGATCTGTGTCAGGACATGGTTTCTCATTCCTATTTTTCTGGGCCTAGGCAGTTTGAAATCTGGTGCCTCTCAAATACTAAGATGGGGTTCATAAATCATGTGGAACAGAGAATCAAAATGAGTTTTTTGTCTCCCATATTGCTTCTTTAGGATGTTTGAGTTTAGAATTGAATAAAAAATTGCATACAGTGATATCTTAATAAATAATATTTAATAGATATTGTGACAAAATGGCCTTGAAACATATAAACCTGATTAAAATTTCCAAGAAGCTGCAATTTATTTTCTTGCCATTAATAAAAGATCAATAAATTTTTACATAAATTCTTTTTAACTTTGAAGACCCTAAGCTCAATCTTACATTTAACTTAGAGAGGTCTTGACATAACCTGTGTCCATAGGAGTTATCCATTGGACAGAAGGAACTGTGCATACAGCTGTCTAAGATTGGAGTCTTTGACAGCACTCACCACAAGCACATGGTGATTGGCATTCAGGAACTTCAGGACTGCAAGTACAATCATCATTTCATAATCTGGACTAATTCTGGATTGGGTGCTCTTGGTGTACCAAACTACAAGTATAAATGCCAAAGAATCTGTTTCAGAAACACCTAGAGCAAGGTGATGTACAGGCTGTGCCTGGCAGGGAGCATCAGTGGCTGGAGGTCAGCACTGCTTGGATTTTTCTACTGTATGCTTTTATATTCTGGATTCATAAAGGACTTCTTTGCCTGTTTATAAAGAGCTAGGCTTTTCTAACTTTGTATGGTGATATGCCTGACAGGATCAGGAGGTGTAACATTTAAGACAGATGCCCTTTTCATCCTCTATTCAGTGTGTCTAAGTCAGGTGAAAGCTGCTGTACTGCTGCTGGAAGGATGCTTCTGACAGCAGAGTTAGCAGTCTGGATAACTAGGAGATGTCTACAATGTAGTAATTATTAAAAATAGTGATGGGAAAAACTGAATTTTTTTTTTTATTCATGATTGAGTTCTAATGAAATGGGAAAGAGTACTTTGAATTACAACTGAGAAAATTATAGTATAGGTTATGTTACTGGTTTTTCAAGATGTATCTGTTTTTTAAAACAGTGTGCCTTTAAGCAGTTTTAACCTAAATTGGCTTGTGCATACAGTTTTGCCCTCTACATAGATAACATATTTTGACATAATGTTAACCTCATAATTTCTGTAGATGCCTTTAATGCCTTAAGATCTGACCAGTGTTTAATTTCTGTATTTGTTTTTCTCAAGGCTCACACCTAATGGAACTGTAGAGTTTTTGTTAAAGATTGACCTTTGGTGCTTTTTTTCCCTTTTTGCAGGTATTTGTGGAAACACTTGACAAATGTTTTGAAAATGTCTGTGAGCTGGATTTAATCTTCCATGTAGACAAGGTACTGTGATGACATCCTTCATGGATGTGATGACGTCCATATTTTTGTGAATGTTTGGTTCAGCTGATACTTGGTATTAAGCTCTGTCTTACTTTCCAGAGAAGGGTAACAAAGTGGTAAAGGGTCTAGAGAGTAAGTCTTGTGAGGTGTGGCTGAGAGAGCTGGGGAGTGTTCAGGCTGGAGAGAGGAGGCTCAGTGGGAGCAGCACTGTCCTCTGCAACCACTTGAAAGGACATTGTAACAGGATGGCGGTTGGTCGCTTCTCCCAAATAAACAGTCAGTCAAGAGGAAACGGCCTCAAGCTGGATACCAGGAAGAATTTCTTCCTTGAAAGAGTTGTCAGGCATTGAAACGGGCTGCCTGGGGAGTGGTGGAGGCATCATAACCAGAAGTGTTCAAGTAACAACTGGAGGCTTAGTGATGTCACTTAATTGACATGATGGTGTTTGGTCAAAGGTTGGACTTGAGGATCTTGGAGGTGTTTTCCAACCTTACTGATTCCATGATTCTGTTATATCCGTGATATCAGTGAAATCTAGATTGTTTCTCCTAAAATATTTCTTCTTTTACTTGAAAGCTGTTAGGGAGCATGCCTTTCTGAGGAACAATAAAATAGTACAGGAGATTTCCATAGTAATACTGTACATAAAATTGTAAAACCTAAGACATCTAAATATTCTTAGAGTAGGAACTGCTTCAAGAAATAATGTGTTCAATTTTGTTCATGGTTAGGTTTATATAACTCAGAACTGAAGCTGTTAATTGTTTTCCAGTTAGGATTGGAAGTTGCCTTTCATATGCTATAATCATGTAATTTAAATGCTGTGTAGATCTTTATATTTAAAATCTCAAATAGGCTTTGTCTTTTTTCAAGCATTTAGAAATAATCTTGTTTGAATATTCCCATCTATAAGAAACAAGTGTTTTACTTATTAATCTAGTTTAGATAAACATCACCTTTAATTTAAAAGGACTTTGATGTTTTTTGATGCGATACATAAAATGCTGGGAATTTAACATACAGAATTTATTCCTTCAGTTGCATTTTGTGCCTACTATTGCTTTCTGCGCAGTCACCTTTCCCCATCTATGAACATCTTGCTGCATCAGCAGCAAAAGATGCCAAAGAAAAGTAAGATAGAAAAAGTCGACTGAAAATAATACCAAGACAGGTATCTGAAAGAACTATTTCAGATTGACTCAGTTTGTTTCAAAATCAGAAAGTTCTTTTGGAAGAAACACTTGCACCTTGACCAGAGAGTGAGATGCAGATTACCTAGAGTGAATGTATAACCAGTACTTGGGTCGTGAAAAGTCATTAGGTTTTCTAGTAATTTCCATGAGTGAAACATGTAGGATATTTCCAAATCAGCAGATTAAAGTACAGAAGAGTTTATGAATAGTTTATACATTGGCTTCTGAGCTTAAAGAACGAAAGTACTGCAGTCGTTTTGTGCGAAGGAGCTTGATCTTTAGCTGAAGAATGCTTTGGCTGATACGTACTCCAAGCTGTTGCTCTGTAGCATGTTTCATTAAAGAGTATTGCTTAACATAACTTGACAGACAAAATATTTCTAATAATATGTGGAGAACTTAAGTGCTTCAAAATGTTGAATTTCTCAAAGACTATTTTACTTTAATTGGATATGAGATTATATTCCTCCTTTAAAATTACATATCAAATGGACATTAGAAGTTAACTATTTCATTTGTTTTACTAAAAATCTAAAAATCTGCTGAGAATCCCATTAAATTATTAAATGACTAGAATATTTAAACTCTGAGGAGAATGGGAACTGTAAATATTAATTAGATAGTTTAGTAAAAATACATTTTCACAACAGAAGTCAGTGAAACCTTGAGTTAAAAAACTTGGAATGTGACATTAACCAGTACAGTGATTTTTAACTTGAGTGTAAATGAACAAAATAATTCAATATAAAGACATGAACTTCTGTAGTAATGCAAGGCTGCCACCAGCTGTACAGTAGTATTAGTTGTGCAGCTGTGACTAATTTGATGTCCTCTCCATTCTTCCTTTTTTTTTTCCCCCTCCAGTTTAAGTTCAATCAGTATTATTGTAGGTCTGAGTACAAAATAGGAAGATGCATCTGTGAGAATTTAGACTGCTAAATTGTCTTTAAACTGCTGATAAGGTAACCTTGTAAAGAAGCATAATGCACTGAGCCTTCACAGTTAATGTATGAACTTTCTCTTGCCAGATATTTGTGGCCTGGCTTGTTAATATATTGCAAGTGTGCAAAAGGGAAAAACAACAACTGCTCCTGTTTGATCTTGACAGTTATATTGGGTGCTTATTTGTGTGTGCTGTTTGGAGTGAAACCTTTGAAATATTTGTATTTTGTCTGGTCTGGTATTGAGAAAAGTGAGGATTGGCTAAGTTATTTGAATGAGAGCTGTTTTGTGTCTTCACTTCTTGGTGGAGCTGTGGGAGGTTGCTTTCTTGCAATTCTTTTGTGAGAGCTGCCTAAACATTTTTTTCTTGTAAAAAGATGATGTGAAATGTAGAATAGTTAACCTATGTAATCTCAACAGCTGTTGCCTCCTTAGTAACATTTTATGTGGTATTTCTGTAAGGAAATATTTATGTTCATCAGGTATTTATAATCATGCAGGACTCAGCAGTGACTATAGTAACCTGGAGCCAAGACAGATGCTTATTCAAGAATATTGATACAGTATGATAAATTCCTTTGGAGAGTAGAATATAGATGGGAATGAGTGTTCCTAATATGCTGTAGCAGATGAGGACTTGGGGTGTCATTGGAGTGTAGTTTGTACAGGAGAGAATTTAACTTCTCCTTTAAAAGATCATCTGTACTACAAGCAGACAAAAAACTTGATGTAGCTGGAGCAGGACATTTTTACATGTCTTGTGAGGAGGAGGTGCCGGTTTGTTTTAGTCTTGCACTGGTTCCCACACTGAATCCAAGAGTCTAATGCTTTCTGATGGAAAAGGCATCACTGAAAGCTATTATACAACTAAAATAATAGAATGCATTCAGCTAGGGATGTAAGGGAATACTTTTGTGTTTTTTCATGAGTTTTTGGCACCTATTGGAATAGCTCTGGGAGTATCATGATCTCTTGCAAGAGTTTATTATCTAACCAGAACAGTGAACTATCCAGAATCAAATTTCTTGAAGACAAGAAAATGTGTTTGACAAATTTTCTTGAGAGAATTTTTCCTTGATACATTCCTTCCTTGAGACATTCTTCTTCATGGTTTTAGAGAGTGCATCAAACATAAATAGGAAACACTCTTGATTTTTGTAAAAACACTTCAGAATTGTTACTGCAAAACAGCAGTTTCAGGTTTTTTAAAAAGTTGGTGTTCTCAGCAGTCAGATCCCTTTTGGAATATAAGATGTCCATTTGTTGTGCCTTCAGTCCTTCACTTAAGTACTATTTTGAATACACTATTGGCGTGTCTTTTGCACTTCATTGCTACTTAATGTGTTTTTATTTAAGATGCTTTTGTTGTTGTTTCATTAGGAAAATAATCAGTGATTTTTTTAAATAAGAAAAGATAGAGACAGTAATGTGTATTTGTACTTTTAATATATATATTTGCAGTGAATTTGCAATTTGAAAAGAAAAACAGTTACTGTTTATTTTTGTTTTGCTGCTGCTTGCATACAAGCAAATATATATTTAAGAGGAGGGAATCAATGGATTACAATAGTTGCATAACTTACTTAGTCAAAGCAGTGATTTCCTTTCATATGCAGATTACCAATTAAAGTTAATGATATGCTGTTATTAAGAAAACCATGCCCTTTAGAGGAAAAGTGGGGCAACAAAGAATAGTCAAGTTTCTTTAAAGCCATCTGTACTTTGAACATTTTTAAATACTGTGTGTTGGACTTCATTATTGCATCCTGAAAGTACAAAAATATTCAGAGAAAGGTAAGAAGCATGACCCAAGGTATAGCTAAAGGAAGAAGTTCAATATTCTAGAGAGGCAAAGGAGTAAGAAGTATATAGAAAGAAAGGTTTTGGAAGAGCCCAAAGGGGCCTGAAGAAGAGCTGTTTTCAGCCTTTCTAGATTCATTAATTTAATATTTGTACAGAAATGCACTTAAAATTTATCAGGGAAACAAATTCAACTTTGTTTTTGAGGTATGGCACAAAACCAAGAACTCTGTTGGATTTTGATGTACTACCTCTGGGTTATTTGAGATTTACTTCTATCCTTGATCCACAGGGAAACTGGGACAATGTCCAAACTAGTAGTTAGAATTACATTTTGAGATACCAGATTCCACATGTTTATTTCTGAAAAGCAGAAAAATGCTCCTTGTCTTCAGATTTAAATAGTAATATGGGATTAAAATATTATACATTGCATAGTAACTCTGGACTTTTACTAGTAAGTGTGCAGACGAATGCCTTTTAAAAAAGAAAAGAAAACCAAAACAAGTCTTTAATACGCTTTGAATGCAGACTCTGAAGCAGTGGTTCATGAACCAGGGCTTTCAAGGGAAGAGACATCCTCAAGTCAGGGCTTCAGGGAAGAGGGATATTTAAACATACCCATTTCAGTGATGTCCTCAGCTGGTTTATGTGCTCCTGCAGTTTGAGTCCTAGCTGTCGGTCTTAGCTGTAGATGCTGAAGACTCCATATTTATCAGGTATCACACAAATGTCAATTTTACTTCTGAGCCAAATCTTGGGATCTGTGCTGGGTGAGCATCAGAATCTCTTTCTTCTCAGTTGTAGTCCAAAGTAGCGTTTAGACATCTACTTGTGAGCAATTTGTTTAGTCTTGCAGGACCTGTTTCCTAGAGGTGTTACTGCTGTTGATGCTACTTCGAACTTTAAAAATTGGATGGAAAATGGGAACAAAGAAAGAGGAATGTGGAAGTTGCTTAGTATTGATGAGTGGTAGAGCAGATGAGTTTGTAACAGAGCTGTGAGCAAAGAAGGTACCGGAGAGAGAAACATGAAATTATGAGCTTTGTTCCCAACTGGCTTTAGATTAAATGCTAACATTAACTGACTTACAGCATACATGTTTCCCTGTATTGAGGTACCTAGACTATCTTTCCAGATTGTATGGAGGATATTTTGCATTTTTGAATTCTCTTTTGGTCTCTTTTAGGTCCATAATATATTGGCTGAAATGGTCATGGGTGGAATGGTTTTGGAGACCAATATGAATGAAATTGTCACTCAGATTGATGCTCAAAATAAACTGGAGAAATCTGAGGTAAGAGTGATGCAGTGTGTAGTTTCTAAACTGAAAAAAGGGTTGTAGTAAATGCATGCTATATAACACTCTTAGTCCGATATAGCAAAATAAATAGTGTAAGCTGCCTGCTTATAGTGCCAAAAATTTGCAGTGTATCTGAGGGTGTTGTACCTCTCATCATAAGTAATAACTGCTTAGTCGCTGCTGATGAGATTTTGCATTTTGTATCTAATAGCATTGTGCACCATTGCTATTAAGATACTTCTGTAGTTCTCTAAGTTTCTCTTGTAGAAAACCTTTTATTTCCAGCCTACTGGTTATGCTGGGCTAGTGACTTCATCAGTTAGATAAAATTAGATAAAGAAACAAAGTGTGTCTTCAAAGACTACATACTTCTATCTGATAGTATGCTTATAAGCACCTGAAATAAATAGCAGCAGTAATACTGCAATACAAGAAAATAAATTGGACTGAAATGAACTAGATAGAATTTAAAGCCCAGTTTTAAACATTTCAAAGTAAATATGAATTAAGAAATTTTGATAATCTGAGCCTTTGGTCTTTAGTGAGTGAGAAAATGATATTGTGTATTTGCCCATAACAGGCTGAGTGAGGGATCACACATGAGTTGTGGGAATCCTTTTTCAATTCAACGGTTATTGAATTTGTGTTTAGTAAAGACATTTAGATCAAGAAAGGATCTTAGAGCTACTTTATATTTGATACAGAATATTACTGTCCCTTTAATGTCACCATATGTGCCTTGTAAGCCAAAACGCTGCTAATAAATGTTAGCTAAGTCTGTGCTGGATTCTAAATGATGAGAGTAATTCCACAGAGTACATCAAACAGTAGTATCCAAGTTTCTGAACAAGCCTTTGCTTGAATTGGAGACTTTCTTAAGGTGAGGTCAGCTGAGTAGACTGAAATCTTCCAGGTGGCATAAATATGAGCTAAACGGCATTTTAGGAGAGGACCTAGAGAACTTCTTCATTCTAACTGAAGTGCAATAAAGAGAGAAATTAATTTTTCAGGGTTTTTTTTTTTTGTGGTACAGCGTGTACTATTCTTCTGATTCTGCAGTCTCAAGCTGTGCCACCTCCATTATTTAAATACATTTAATTGTTTTGCACAACTCCCAAACAATATCTAAGAATAGGACAACAATATGTGAAAAACAAGAAAAAGCTAGGTATGATATTACACAGTACATAGCAATATACATCTGAAAGGATTCTGTGCAGACTTTGAAGATGTCCAAAGTGTTAATTTTAATGTTTTTCTCACACTCAGAATGAAGCACTGATCACAGAGATGAATATTTGGAGTTATTCTCATAAATTTTTACTATGTTTGAATAACTTCTGTATACATACATTTTTCCTTATTTGATAGAAAAGCAGCCGTGTTCCCAAAAAGTGAACTTCCTGAGCAGCTGTGTTCTACCATGTATTGTGTATGTATTGGCTTAATCTGAAAGCATTTAATTATGTAAATTCTGTTACCAAATCAACTTTGGACTAATCTCTGACTAGTCTTCTGAAACACATCAATTCAGTGCACCCAGCAGCAATACTCGCTGTCTTCCATTGTTCATCAGTAAGTCATTCTTTCTGTTAAGAGCTTTTAGTATAAAAGTAGATGGTAGATGATCTGAAAAAAACACATAGAACTTGAAGTATATGCAAAGCAAATAGAAACTTGTTCCTTTACATTCAGCAGTGAATTATAGAAGATAAAGAAGTAGCAGTGATAAATTAAAACACTTGGTGACTGGGATGAAGCAGAACATTTCACAGTCTGCTCACCATAAACACTTTCTTTTTCCTTAGTTCAGTGACTGTTTTCAAATTTAACAGTTACTGTAATGCTGAGATGCATCACAATACCTGGTAGTTATTTCCTTACATGATTAATAATTCGTTTCATGTATATCCACAGAGATTTCCTGATTGCTATTTCTTTTTCTTTTGTCTTCTTTGATAAAGATTGTAAATCTTTCAGTATGTCTTTCCTGAACACATATTTTCAAGACACAAGCAAATCCATGTAAATCAAAATAAGTAATAGCTTAATAAATTTGAATTCTGGTCACTGAGAAATCAAAACTATTGGATCTTCTTAGTTTCCTTTAATTTTAAAAAAAAAAATAGAAATTATTATTGATGTAGTCCCTAGTTTATAGGAGTGCCACCTGTGCCCACAACACTGTTGTGTTTTAAAGCTTTAGTCCCTTTGGCTTTTAGACCACTATCATACCTCTTGCATTTACAAAGCAACTATCTTAAGGTTAAATTTCCTTTTCTTTTATAGCTGAAACAATGAAGCAAATAAAGCTGTAACTGGGTTATATTTTCAGAAATACTTCAGTTTGTATTTTGCCTATCTGGCTTTCAGTAATATACAAAAATGTAGCTATTTAGTATCAGGTATTTGTTCAGCTTTGCACTAGGTTTCTAAACAGGCTTTCTGTTAGAATTTAGTGAAAAAGACTGAATGTATTTATTAAATTCACATATATTTGAGCAAAGTTATCAGCTCAAGGAATTTGTTCATATTTTCAACAGAGATTAATTAAACCAGTATAAGGGAGTCCCTAGCTTTGATTTGTGATTCAGCTAATATTGTTTGGATGGGCTGCAAAGGAAACTATTTGTACCCTGAGCAATGTTGTCTTGTATGCCTTATTTCCCTGCCTTTCAGTTTAGTGTTATTCTGTGGGTTTCTGGTCAATCCTAAAACCAAAGAATTATGGTGATAAAGGGAGGGAATTCTTTGGGAGAGGGGTCATGGGGGTTTTATTCAGAGCTTCTGGAAGTATTATAGGTAAACCTGGGCTACCTCTTCTCTATTTGGAGTGTTCAACTGCGTGTGATTTAGACTTTTAAGTTGGGCCTCATTTTTTTCTGAACCTCCTGATCTTTTCTGGCTCTTTCCATTCTTCTCTCTTACAGACCTTTATCTTTCAGTCTCCCAGACAGGACAGGTAGACAAAGGTATTGCTGACTTTTAGAAAAAAATGTACTTTTAACAAAAAGGGAAAGCAAAATGATGTCAAAGGCAATAAATTATGTAGGCCAGACTCAAAAATTATGTGTAAAAATACCCATACTAGTCCTTGTAGCCTACTTTTTGTGCTAGTTTCTTGTAGTTCCCTCATCTTTTTATTGGCTATAGTGTATTTTACTAGCTTTTCATTGACATCATATTTTTTATTTTATTTCTCTTCCTGCATTTTAGAATTTAACTTTTCTTTGATTCATTGTTAACAAGTAAGGGAGTATGAACTTGCATGAATATTAGCCAAAAACCCTGCTAAATTATTGTCAATAAAATATGAACACACAGATAACAAGATCTGATGATATTATACAAATAACTTCTTTGTTGGAAGAATTTTGTCCCTGATAATCTAAAATATGTGAAATGTAAAATGTGAACTCTTTTGCTTCACCATTTAGTATTTCCTGATAAAAGTGATTTTACCTGCTTGCAAAGAGAAGTTCCAAAATAAACTTAATGAAACATTAAAAATCCCACCACCAAAACCAACTGAAATAGTTCTGTATAGAGAGAATGAAATTATCAGTGCAATTTGTAAAGATGATGTAGAAATTCTGAAGTTGATCATCCAGCCTTAAGTATGTTGAACATAGAATGAGAAGGACTGTCAGCATGTACTCAACTTCAGATGTACATTTGCTGTCAGTATAATCTGAATGTTTGGATTTTGCTCTAAGATATCCTGGTAACTGCAGTCCCCGAACATGAATGTTAACAAAGAACAGAAAAAGGAGAAGGAAATTGTATGTTTGAAATTCAGTTTATGGTCAATGTCACCTGGCATTTGTTGTTTGAAACATTTAGTTTAGCTCAATAGTTTGAATGTCAGTCAGTGTTAATGGCAATTCTTCAAAATTAATTTCCACTTGTTTTAAGTCTGTGTACTCAAATTGCAGGTATTTTAAACAGGTGGAATCTTAAGCAGTTGAAACTTATTTAATTTATGAGTAGCTTTGCTCTTTACATTTCATGTGATCTTCCTAGGATATAGTGTACTGCAATACCATTAAGATTTAACTATAACTCCGCAATTGGATTTAGTAACACTGAGTTGTAAAAGCATTAGCTAGAAATAGTTTTTTGGTAACATGCAACATTTTAACCTAAATTTGAGGTATGCTACAGCGCATGAAGAACATCAAGGACGTGGCCTTCCTCTGCCTAGTATGTTAACTAACACTTGTAACATATAGTCTGTGTTTCATTGGTAACACTAGGGAGCTTGAGCTCAGATTTTTGGTTTGTTTTGGTTTTTTGTTTTTCTTTTTCTTTTTGTCCAAAGCTACTTTTCTTTTTCTGTGTTCTGCTCACACATATTGTTTTTATTTTTGGGTCTGGCAATGAAAAACAAACAAAGTAATAATTAATCATTCCCATCCATTACTCCTTTTGTGATTCAAGTGCTTAAAATTTCTAAGAGTATGTCTTAAGTCTTCTTATCTGTTTGGCCTCATTTTGATATACTTGCAGACTTCATTTTGGTTTTTCTCTAATTATGTTCATTTATTTAACCTCATGAGCAGGGGACATGATCATTCCTTTATATTATGTATTGCATCCTTTCATGATTTCATATCCCTGCTGCTTTGAAGTCATACTTGTTCTGAAAAAAAGCATTGCTGTGAAATATCAGCAGCAGAGAGGTCCTAATACCTCTGAAGTATCTGGAAAAGGGTGGCTTATTTTGCAGTGTTAGCCTTCATTATTTTGTTTTCCAGTAGGCTGTGTTTTTTCTATATATTTATTTTAGTGCTAGCTAGCTCTGTGTAGAGTTATTTGGGATGACAGTTGGAACATTTTTATTTGTATATGCATATTAACAGTTTGTGTGATGTGCAAGACTTTTCCCGAATAATCTGCATTTCTTTTCAAAGAGTGAAACAAGGTTGCTGGGATCACTTTGAAATGAAGTTACCAGTTGGGCTTTCTAAGAAAGGGTGATGATAAGAACAAAGAAAATAGATTTCTATAGTGATTAATTATGACCAAAGTAAATTAATGACAGCTTATGTTTCTCACATGATAGATTAGGACCAGGAGAGTAAAAGTCCTTTTATTAAATGTGTCCATTTCAATCTATGAAATCGTGTCTTTTTTGCATATATAGTATTGCTCTTTAGAAGTATATGAACATGTTTACAAGCATTTTTTGCAATAATGGAACCTAAAATTTTAATATGCAGTATTTCAACATTAAAGCACATCCTTCAACAAGAAATGAAATTTGAGAGTACAAAGGAGCTGCAGCAAAACTGTGTTGTATTGGCTTATTGTTATACCAACTGTATGCAATTCATATTGTCTTTCTGAAATTGCATTTATTATGTCTTAAGAAGTTTTAGTTTCACTTTGCTTCAGTCATTTGCTTGCTGTGATAGACAATTCATCATTCACTGCATGTTTAAAGCTTGCTACATGTTTTGTTTTTTCAAGTGGAACAGTTTTTTCTTTGCACATCACCAATTTACCTGCTGAAATATATGATAAATAAGGCAGGTGTAACTTGTTGAGTATTACAGTGAAAGCAGTATTAATCTGGTGCCTCTAGAAAATGCCTCGAAAGCACATGGGGCTGATAGTATTTACTTGCTGTACTTTTTGTGTTTGTAAATACAGTTCACTTCCAGGAAAAGAAATGGAAGGACTGCCTACTAGTTCACTGCCTAACATGCTAATTAGTTATCCAGCTTTGGAGTTAATGTGCTTTTCAGTCACTTTATCTATTAGACAATTTTTTATGAACTGTTTGCTCTCTTAGAAATGCTGTGTAACTGTATTGTGCTTGGTAGGGTGGACATTAATTGTGCTAAATAACATCCTGCTATGCATTTTATGTATCCACTATTCTACAAACCTGCTTAATACAGAGGATTACAGGAGAAGAGAATGTAATAATTTGAAAATCTCTACTCCTGCATCTGATAGTGAAAGATAATGTCTGTAAAAAAAATAGGTAATCTGATAATCACAGCAGTTTTGTCAGGGATCTTCACTGATTTTGATCCAGAATGGTCCTCATGAAACATGACTCCAAGCTGGGAGCTGTGACTGTGTAGTGGGGTGGAAGGGCAGTGGTCATGTCAATTGTGGTATTTTTAATAATTCTCAATTGTGTCTCCATTGTATCCTATGCCATTGGGGCGGGAGGCAGGGACTGTAGGTCTGTATAAAGAGGATAGTAGCAGGTAGGTAAAAATAATGACCAGTTATACTAAAAATGTTATTTTTCCATTAAGAATAAATAACTTCCCTTAAATTAATGTAAAGAATCTCCATCCAAATCACCCAGAAGACGCCTCTCCTTTGAATTGCCAAGCATGTGCTACCATGTCATTACTTACTATATTTTTCTGATTTCCCTTTCAGTTGTAAATTGTATAATTCATTGCTTTTAATTAGTATTTTCATCTCAATGGAAGACAGTTTACATTGCCCCATTTTGCTTAGTGAATTTTTATTCCATTGCTGCAAATAGAATTTAAAGGATTAAAAGCATTTTTTGTTTTATCCAATATGACTTTGCTGGTAGTTACCTCTTGATTTAAAATTAGTATTTCCAAGTTCTTAGATGTAAAAGGACAGTGTTGGGCATCTTCATGCCATGTATGCTGTTTTTTTAATAAATAGAAAGAAATTGCAAAGTCTAATACTGCTCCTTTAATTTATTGCAGATTCAAGGATGCAGATTTTGGATACTTGCATTTCTTAATATTGCTAGTGTTAGGTCCAGGTTTTCCCCTTTAAGAATATACTGCTATTGAAAAAGCCTCTGAACTGAATGACCTGATAGACTTGGTGATGTTAAAGGAAATGAAGGAAAAAGAGGGTTTAAAAATACTTCTTTGCACCTTTTGAGTTTTAGTTAGTCTGTACTTCTGAGAACTGATGATTTGGGTTATGTCAGGACGAAAGTGAGAGCAAATCTGGTTACATTAGAGATTCAGTTTTCTGAGCTTTTTTCTCTGCCCCCACATTCTTTTCCCAACTTTGGCATGTCTCACAGAGGAGGGTTTGACAGGGAAGATACTGTTAATAGATGACTCAGTTTTCTGGTCTCTGTTTCTTCTTCTGGGAATCATCCCATGACTAAAATATAGGGATTTGAGATGCTTTAGCCTTTCCACATAGATGGTTAGTTCAAAATCAGAAACTTTAATCTGTTTATTTTGGCTTGGGTTATTTTTCTGAAGAGAGAAAGAACAGTAGGTAGGATTTTAAGTGAAAGATCTTACATTAACTTGACTTCATGTTTATTTCTTATAAGAGAGCAGTAAAAGGGAGAAAATATTTTTTTTCATATCCTTCCAGAAGGAGAGTTGGTATGTCTAGATACAGCTCTATGGTTGTGTGTGGGGTGTCTCTCTCCTTTTGTGTAGTAGACCAGATGGACACTGTGGAAGTCAGATATACTCCTCAATAGTTTTGCCCTACACTTGTAATGGATCTCAGTGAAAACCAAGGTTATACTTGGAGTGGTATATACATACCAACACTTTTTAATAATCAAATATGACACAAACTTCTCAAAGTTTTTCTTCCTTCATTTGCTGTATTTCTTGTTCAGAAATACTTTATGTGCAAATAGGCTGGTTTCTTCAGTCTTTGACAAACCTAAAGACCTTCCATTTCTACAGGTTTAGTCTTTTTAAAAAAACAATTCCTAGCATCTTGCTTTGTTTCTCATAGATTGCTCCTTTTTACTGGACCTGCAAGACGCCACACTCAAACTAGTAGTTGTGGAACTCACATGGTGATTTTTATTGATTTTGAATGTTTTTGATCTTACTTTTAAATCATCAAAATAAAAGTTAATTATTTTTACATACTCAGAGGATTTGGAATATGATGTCTTTTTTTCCTAATAAGTGCTCTTCTTTTGAAAATCTTCTGTGCCTTTTTTTTTTCCCTTGCAAAAATAAAAATTATTTTTACTCTTGTGGCAAGCCTGAAGTAAAACCACAGTTCAAATTCTAAATCTACATAGAGAATCTGAACTTTTAGGAGGAACATTTCTGTACCTAAAGTGAATAGCATGCTTTTTTCACAACATCAGTTATAGTAGTAACACTTACTAGTCTTGTTTTAATAGTTCTTAAAATAACAAGGTTTTGAATAGGTGTTTTCAGAAGCAATATGGAAAGATGAATTTTGGTATGTCTTCAGGCCTCTCAGCTGTAAATGGTTAGCATTCCATAATATACCTCAGTGTATGTGTAAACTTGGCAGCTACTTTATCTAAAAGCACAACTAAACACAAGTCAGTAATTCTCTATTGTAAAACTTGCATGTTTATACAGAAACGCTCTAGTTTTGTGTGCAAAGAGACTGCAGTAGAGGGCTTTAATGAAAAATAGGTGCTATTTAATTTTATAGTTTAATTTGGCATAATTTTGTTATGTAATGCTCAAGGGGATGCAGATATGTTAGTTACTGTGGAACAACAGATTATTCTAGTTTTTCCATAGAAATTATCTGTCTGCCTGCTCTTTATCACCCACAAATGCAGGGTGTTTATCCTTTTCATCTTAGTCTAAGCCACCTTGAAATACATGTGTGTATATATATATATATGTATATTTGTATGTGCATATAGATACACACGTGTGTGTGTCCATTGATTTGACTGACATTCAGCGCCTTGTTACTTTGAGGCTACTTCTTCTGAATCTGTAACCAATGTTAGTCAAGTGTGAACCATGTGAACTTTTAGAATAGGTAAGAGGCAAAGGCAGCACATAGGACACTCAACACCTCAAGACTGTCAGTTCTATAACATGCACATTACATGTGCTCAGATAAGCCTCCTGTTCCTTCCTCTCATACTTTTCCATCCATTTGACATTACATGTTTTACCATATAAAAAGGAGTATGTGAACTGTTTTCTCTTTCTGGTTTAATATTTCCAAGTAACCCATTTCATTCCAAACACAATTACCATGTGGTTTTTCTAATTGTGTAACCATGGAAATACTTGAAAAATTAGTTGTGTATATTGCTGGTGAATCTTCTTGTGACAAACTTTGCCTGACTTGCATTTTTCCTCACTTTATATGCAGGCTGGTTTAGCAGGAGCTCCAGCCCGGGCTGTTTCAGCTGTAAAGAATATGAATCTGCCAGAGATCCCAAGAAATATTAATATTGGTGACATCAGTATAAAAGTACCAAACCTACCCACTTTTAAATAACATGGCTACTCCAGGTAATACCAAGGAAGAAATGTAATAGAGATTTACTGCATAATTGTTTACTAAATAAACATGTCTAACTTTTACTGTTCAGATAAAACTCAAGGTACTGCATAGACATAACCTGAAAAATCAGTGTGTGGAGTTGAATGTTGCTTTTGTCTTGTTTGTGAAATTAAAGGAAAGGGGTAGTTCCCACGTGATTTCTAAATTACATTCCTATGCCCTTGCAAGGCATATCACTGTGTCTCAGCTGCTGCAGTATTTTGGGGAAGTATTGAAGATATTCTTTACTTTGTATAAACTATAATGCTGAGGTTTTTTGTATATTCACCAAAGTCTCTAATTAGTGCGTTCTTTACTTCTGTTTGTGATGATTATTTAATACTTAAGTGCAGATGTTGCATGAAAACATTTAACTCATGTTTTGTTTAAATAAAATCATAACAAACTGGACTTCGAAACACCTGTTTTTTGAAGTCTACTGTTTGCAATAAACCATGTTATTTCCTAATCATGGAGCCAATTGACTATATATAAGTACTGTTGTAGCAGACATTGATGTTGTAGTTTAATCTCTGAAGGGCTTACACAGGGGTATTGTGCTGAACATGTTGGCTCTTTACATTTCACACAAAAGCTGATCATTATTATACTAAAGGAAAAAACTGCCTTTACCGAAGATCTGATGACTTTTGTTTACATATACATGTTGATACTTACACAATCTGATAGACTTTTGCTGATGGTCTGACTTTGTTTTGGGGAAAAATGGGCCCTGTGATTGCTCTGTGTTGTGAGAAGCACAAAATGGGCTGAGGAGATTATATTTGGGCAGTTCAAACCTGTACATGAAAGTCTATCAAATAATGTGATAAAGAAAAGCACTCTGGAAAGATAAATGGGGATACTTTAATAGGGCCTCTGTGCCTGGTGACATTTGTGATTCTCTGCATTGAATTGGATTTGAGAGACATATAGAATTGTCAGGACCTCAGAGAAATCTAAGTGCTATCACCTCTGCGTAAGTTGCTCAGCTCTTAAACTCTTCTGTGATTTAAAAAACATAAAAGGGGGATAGTGATTGTTTTTTATAATCATGCTGTTAAGCTCTGTGTGATGTACAAGTATGTTTAAATAAATAATAAAAACATCATTGGGATATTTAAGAATACCTTCAAAGCCTTTTTTTTCTCCAAAAAAATACTTAGTCAATACTGTATATGAAAATGCAATAATATCAAGAACAACAGATTTCAGGACGAGTCTGAGAGGGACTGCACTACTTCAGGGATTTGGATTTGATGTAAACTGAATGTTCTTTTCCTTTAGTTGAATGTTAAGACATAGTCTATAGGATAAGCTTTGAAGCACGTCACGTTTTCTGTTTGATCAACAGTAACTAACATATTTTGGGAGCATTTGAGAGAGAAAAGGAGAAAGAGAAATTACTTTTGAGGTGGAAAATCTGATACAATCCAAGGAATTTTAATGTATTTCTTAAGCGGAGAATAACTACTTCATGTATATTCTTTGTATTACATTTAATAAACATTAAACATTTAAAAAATGCTTTTGAAAACAGAGTTGCTCTCTCCAAACCTCTCAAAAAGAATATTTATTCTTCCAAATCAACTTTCTTAGTTTGAGGCTTCAAAAAATTTCAGGTGCCATTTAAGTAATTAACTGCCTCTTTATCATTTGGACCAAAGAAATTGAGAGAGTAAAACATGCCAGCCATTTTTGTTTTCTCCCTGTGAGGTATTCCTTAGTATTCCCAAATTGGACACCTTAGCTAGTACAAAACTGAAACTTATCATTTCACCTGCCTACTTTTGTTTATCTTCTTAATGCTTGGCACATGCGACATTCAAAGTAAAGATGATGAAAGCTTTTTCATTATTGCCCCTGTGATGATATGGTTAGTTGTCCTGCCAAAGGAGGAATAGGACATTTTGAAACATTTGGTACTCTGACCTGCAGAATGTTCTTTTAGCTATTTGTTAAAGCAACTCAAAATTTCAGAAATTCTTCTGAGTCCTCTATTTTTGTCTCTTTCTTCTCTCTAGTTCTTATTCAGATTTGTAAGCTTATGTAGTTAAAACATTTTTCATTCCTTGCTGATAAATATTTTCTGTATTTATTTGGATGAAATACCCAAAAGAAAGTGTATCTGAGATGCATCTTGACATGAAACATACTTGGGATTACCTTCTCACCTGCCAATAGCCAGCCTGTCTTTTGTTTTAGTGAGCTAGGTCTTCACTTTTAACAATTATATGGCTATTTTAAACTCTTTTGTTTTAGTTTAAGCGGTTTTAATAATGTTGTCTGTGCTGATTTTCTCTGACTTGATGTGTCTTCTTCCAAAAGGCTTTTTCTCTGGACAGCTCTCCTTTAGATACCAGGCTTTTCATGAAGCTTCTCTGTGACTAGCCAGCAAAAATTTAATGTGAGGCTGTAGCTCAGAGCTGGTGCTCTCTTACTCAGGAAATCTTCAGATAAGAAGAAATGCTTTATCAGATTTTTCACACTCCTTTCAAAGAGAAATTCTTATCCATAGAAAGGCCTCAATGGTAGGTAGCACTTTCCCCTTAAGTACACACAGATGCTGTGACCATGTCAGCTTCCTCAGGGTAGCTGAACCTGTCTGCATGCCACCCCTTTGCCAGAGGAGTATCTTTACGTTGCCTGGGGAGGTACTGTACTGCTGGGAAAGGGGATACTTGCTTAATAGAAATTATGGAGGTAGTATCCTTTTCCTTTACCATCTAAGGCTTGCCTTGTGCTACATTCAGATATTCATGGGCTTGCCACAATATTTATCTGCTTTTGTTCTTCACCTTCATGAGAATGATGTGCCTTTTGAATTCTTTCTCTTATTTCATCAGTTTGCTCTCAGCTGCTGCTTACAATTTAAAATGGAAACAAAATGTGGGTTCTAGATGATTAAACTCTTGATTGTGAATTTAAATGTTTTTAATGCTTTTATAACAGAAAAAACCCCACCCTTAGCAGATACAGGTGAGAAGATATAGGTGTTCGTGTGTGGGTATTTGTATGTTTATGCATGTATAAATATATAAATATATTTTACATATATGTGTGTGTGTGTGTAGATATATAAATATATATAATATCAGTCTTTTGCAGGTTGTTAAAAAGGGGAGAAGGTCCTCTTGAGTCATCTGTCAGCTGCAAAAGACAGGCAACTAATTTGCCATTCTCCAAATCCATAGGGTCTGCCTTTTAAGTGGTGTTCTTAAGGGTACAGGTACCATGTATAAAGGAATCACTGAAAGACATTTTTCCTAACTCCAGGCCTCTCTTAGAACTGGAAGATGGATTCTTCTAAACAAATAGAAGTGCAGAAAGGATGATATTTCAGTAGGGTGAATGGGCATTATCATCTGCCTCCATAGACTTGGAACAGAGCAACTAGTTTTCTTACTGGGGCAGGGGCAGTAAGTACTGCTGAAAAAGCATTTTGGCTCTTTTTTTGTTAGAAGGTAAGTATCTCATGTTGGCAGAGAATGCTGTATGAGATACCGGCAGCACAGACAGTACATGTGCTGTGCCATTGTGTTCCTCTCTCCTCCCTGGACACCACTCTTTTGAATATATTATGGGGAAAAGGGAAAATTTTACATTACAAGTGTTTTCAGAATTCCTCCTCTTATTAAACAGCTGCTGCTGCTGTGATTCATTCTGCTTAGCGTGGGTAGGTGGAGGAAAGTATCATTTGTTGCAAGGAGAAACAGGTTCAGCCTAAAAATTCAAATTGGTGCTGCCTTCCTGTGTGCACATTTGACCTTTTCTTTCCAGCAGCGCATTCCAATAAATGCTAAAATTAGCCCTGAGTTTTACTTAGGTCTATGATAGTCAAATGAGAACTTGCTAAAGTTCTAAGGGTTACCTCATGAAACTCCATGATACAGAATTACAGCACATGTGGGGCATACTGAAGGAATTGTCTGCTTATAACTGTTACAGGAAAACAGAGCCTAGGTCTTGCAGAAAATACATTTCTCAAATTTTTCACAGAATATTCATAATTTTTAGGAGGAACAAAGAAAGTGACCAAGTGCTGCCAAAACCTGAATAAAGGTAAATAATTAATTTCACAAAAAGTACTGTTTTGTTATTTGCTGGTAACAATTACTGTAACAAATTATAAATCTTTTTCCACTGAGGGAAATGATCTGTCCTTGCAATTTTTGGTGTTCAGTGATTACCCCAAAATACTCAGTCAGTGCTTTCATTCCATGGGCAAAAGCACAAAGGTAGTCACTCTGCAATGTTAGTTGGTCAGCCAGGTCTCTTGTGTGCTGGTTTTGGTCTCGTGGCACAGTAGGAGTGCAGTCTGACCTGGGAGCAGCCACAGGTCAAGATGTCCTCTCTTTGCACAGAGCAAATATGCCCATGACTGGAATCCTAGGGACATTGGAGTTGATCCAGCATCCATCCCATGAGGCAGACTGACAGGCACACTTGTGACATATTCCACGGCTTTCCTGCCCAGCTGGGCTTTTCTGAGACTCAGCAGCACACACAGACTTCTGGTGTCCCTGTCTATGCTGGCTCTGCTGTACAACCAGCCAGAAGAGCTGCTGGAGGAGTGGAGCAAAGCCCTCTCCAGATTCTTTCTGAGCAGAGAACTATGAGCTTGTTACCAGAGCTGTGTATAGACACAGGCCTGTTAACGACAGCTGTGGGCTGCTTGGATACACACTTCTCTGTAGTCTCCTTGTTTATTGTTAGCTTTCACAGGATTCTTCTTCTCATGAGATTGTTAGGACTCAGCCAGCAGAGCTGGTGTGGGACGTGAGTTGAGTGTCACAGTTTGGGAATGTGCTGGGTTACTGCATGACCCGTGTGCATGGTAGGATACCTGTGTGATCAGCACTCTTCTTGTGCACCTGAGAAACTTCACTGGTGTAGCCACAGTGTGTGGCACCCACATCTTCCCCTCTAAAGACCCATCCGAACAAGTTTGACCAATCTGCAGAAGAGAGAGAAGCAAAACTAAAATGGACTGTGCATTTGAAGTAGTCATTATAATAATTTTCTCTGCTGATATGTTTCAGAACAGCAAAGATGTTTCACAATTCAACCAACCATCCCATTCCCAAGTGAGGTACTGTTTTACTTCATGTGAGAACTGTTTGGGTCAGAGGACAGAACTCATAGTTCCTTTCTGTTCCTGAGACACTGTGACATGTGTCATTGCTTGCCTGCCTCTCATACAAAATGTCTTTCCACAGGGAGGGCTGTCTGTGTCTGTCTGTCTGTATGTCTTTTCTGTATTTTCAGGAGAGGTACTCCTGCAAAATCCAGCAGGGCACATCCTGGCTGCTGGTCCTCCTCAAGGTGTAGAGCAGTCATTCAAGATGTGACTGGCAGCATGTAAAACATAAACTGAGAGACAGTGAGTTGAGATTTTATGTTAGGAAAGAATTCTTTACTGGATGGGTGGTGAGGCAGTAAAACAGGTTGCCTATAGAAGCTGTGGAT